TAAATAAAGAATATGCAATGAAAGAATCGCCAAGACTGTACCTAATCGTGACTGACTCTGAAATTTTGAAGCAATTTGATGCATTAAATGACAACCTGCAAGAAATAGAAGTTCTCAACTTTTAATGCACCCTATTAGTTTGGGGGGATTTTTTTTTTTAACTGGATACAGTGAGGAAAGTTATGGACATAATAAAGAGCACGGTGGGAAAAAAGAAAAATATTCCAGCAGCCAGAACTTTACCCCAGGTTTGCTGACCCCTCTTTTAACAGCAATAACAGGACACGCAAACTGCTTACAGCTACTTGAACCCAAGGCTTTCGCCAGACTGCAGAAGACTCAAAGACTAGTTGTGACCTCAAAGAGCTTTAACTCCAGAAAACAAATACCCATTACTTCATTCTTTTTAAGTAAATAAAAACTTCTACAAACAGGCAAACACCTCTCCTCACCCTAAGCATACGCACGTATATCACACGTGTGGATATATCGCATACATGTGGATATTTAGGCATGCTTGTGCATTGACAGTACATATTCCACGTTTCTACGTACCCGCCCGGCTCTGAGAGGGGTCGGGGGGACCCGGCGCTCAGGGAGCGGAGAAAGGAGGACTCGGACCCGGACTCAGCTGTGCGGGAGGAGCGGAGCCCCCGGACCCGGACTCGGCTCTGAGGGGGCGCGAGCACCACCCGGACCCGGCGCGCGCTGCCCGCGCCTTTCGAACCGCGCGCCCGGGCGCTACCACAGCTGCTCCCCGAGCGGGGGCGGGGCACCGGCCGCGCCTTCCTCCCCGCTCCTTCTGAAACGACAGAGCCGCTGGAGGCACAGTTCCAGAGTCTCGTATTAGAGACAAGAGGGAAAAAGGTTACTTTGAGAGCCGTTCGCTTGTTTAGGTTAATTTCCGCTCGCGTATTTGCGGAAAACACTGCTGGCTTTTCCTCCCGGTTGGTTACGCCCAAAGCGGTAAATTGAGTGGCGCCGAGAGGAGCGCACATGGCGGCGGTGAGGGGGCGCAGGGGGAGCCCGCGGGGGCGGCGGGGCCGGGACTGGGAGCCCTCGGGCTGGGGATCCCTCAGCCGGGACCCCTCAGGGCGGGGGATCCCTCATCTGGGGATCCCTGAGCCGGGGGTCCCTCGGCATGTCCTGTGAGGATCTGGTCGGGTCTGTGGGTCTCGCCTCACCCTCCTAGAGAACCCTCGGGTTATATCGTAAAGAACCGGTTACGCTTTATTATCGCGCCCCCAGTGATGTGGTTAAAGGTTTATAAAGCAATAACCCTAAACCCTGGTGAGTGCAGCAGCACAGGGTTTGCAGAGCAAAGCAGGGAGCGCCGGTGCCGTGAGGTTCCTCATGGCTTTCGGGGGGGATGATTTGTCCATAATTTTTCATGCCGTTCGCGTTAACCCCGCAGTGCCGCTGTCACTGAGCTGTTGTTGTCTCCCTGCAGGAAAGCAGAGTGTGTGTTCCCGGCGGGATACTTTGATTTCTCAGCATGGACAAGGAGCAGGTTTCCAAACGTTTGTATGTTGGGGGGCTTGGCCACGCGGTTTCCAAGGCTGAACTGGAAGAAAGATTTGGCAAGTTTGGGCGTATTTTGGATGCAGAGATTATTACCAGAAAAGATGATGAGGGTAATGGTTTTACTTCATTCTTTATAAGTTCATTGCTTTTCACTTTGAAGTGTGAAATGGAATATTTGCTCCAGAGGCACTTTAATTTTCAGGAAATAGCTTCATTTTCAGTTTTAAAGGAAACACTGAAATGATGTGGAAATTAACTGGATGTTTCTTATTGATCAGGGAACCCTATGAAGACTTTTGCTTACGTCAGTGTCAGCATTTCGGATGCAGATCTTAGGAAGTGTAAGTACATCTTTTTATTTTTCACTTATTTGTGTTTTTGAGCCAAGTTGCATTACTGATAGTGCATGTAATGTTGTCACATCAGGGTGTGGTCAAGGCAGAGCTTGTTTCAATCTGTTGTTTTATTAATTCCACTTTAAGCTGCAGTTTTAGGGGTACCTTTCAGATACAGACTTTAACCAAGTGAGCAGTGAAGTGTAAACTCATGCTAAAGAAACCTCAGCTTGGCATAGGAGGAGGTGTAGTGAAGTCTGGGCTGTGCTTTTTTAATGTAGAAAATACTCATTTCCCATCTCTTTGTTTTGCAGGCATGTCAATTCTAAATAAAACAAAATGGAAAGGGGGGACACTGCAAATCGAGTTGGCCAAAGAAAGCTTTTTGCACAGGTAAAAATCAGGCTTTAAAAATATATATTGTTGCTCCACCTTTTTCTGTTTATCTGTTTATATTATGATAATAACATTATATATTATTTCATCTTCTGCAGTCCTGTCCTTTCAGTTTTGATAGGCACTGGTGGAGTGTTGATGCACATTTGATGCTGCAACATGATTTAGATCCTTATTCCCTTCAAGGGAATGTCAGGATGTTAACTCCTTGAGCAGTGAGTGTTGCTGTTCTGTGGGAGGGGGTCCCTGCCAGCTCTAATTGAGCACCTGGGCTTTGGCACAGCACTTCTTTTCAGGCAGGATGTACTTTTTGGTGCAGGCTTGCCCTGGAGAGGGAGGAAGCAAAGCTGCAGAAAGAAAAGCCACAGAGAAATAACCCAACCTGTCTGTTGGAATCACTGAAAAAGACTGGAGTTGTGGATTTCCACATGAAAGCAGTACCAGGTACAGAGGTGCCAGAGCACAAGGTATGGTGGGGTAGATGGGTGAGAGAGTTAAAGCAGCAGAAAGCAAGCTGAGTGCATCTAAATTTATGCCAAATCTCTATGCCT